GTGCTGGCACGGCGGATGTCGGCGCTTTCGTTCCTAAATGTCCCGGTACCTCTTCCGTGCCTTGAATGGGCGATTTCAGGGCTCCAGACGCCGGTGGAGCAGCAAGGTGCATCTCACCGGGAACCACTGGTTGCACGGGCGTGGCTTGTTCGAACTTCCCAGTTTCTGCCCCAGTACCCGAAGGCCCTTTTGTGGAAGAGACGTCACTGGCAAGCTGCGCCGGTGGAGCAGACTCGTTTGGTCCAGAGGGATGTCTGTCCAACTCATGGTCGCTGGTGGACTTAAGCCGCGGTGACTCACGCTCTTCTCCAGACTGCTGTTGCTCGTGACTCAGCTTAGACATTCTCCGACGTTTACCCTGCGATGATTTACCGAGCGTGGCTGTGGCTGGAAGGATTGCCTCAAAAACGGGCGCCTTGGAGGAGGTGGCGGAGGGTGACGCCTTCTTCGTAGCACGCCGCACAGTGGCCACGCTTTGGGTATCGGAACCGAAGCTCGTCTTACGAGAGGACATCGACGACCTTTGAGACGACGATCGCTTGCGCGAAGCCCTGCTCGCTATATTCGGATGTCCCGATGCTGCCTGACGTCCCTTATCCTGGTGAGCAGCTTCTCTGTTGGCGGCGGCAACCCACTTCTCGACTCGAGGCGCACCGGAGGCTTCGACGTGGACGGGCGACGTCGTAGCAGCGGCTGCCGCAACGGCAGTCGGTGCCGTCGCGGGAGGTTTTGTGGTGACGGGTGCGTTTCTCGTTAGCCGAGGGGGCACACCAAGGTGCGCCGGTTTGTGTCCCCGCGCCAGGTACTGGTACCACAACAACGGAGGCAGGTTGTGGTGATCCTCCTCAACTGGCCGGACCACCGGACGCTGTGCCACAGCCTTCTTATTCTGGGCCTCTGCGGAACTAGCCGGGGCGGGCAAGGCTGCCGAGTCGGCGACCATGTCCAGGTCTTCAAAGCTGTCGCCGAACTTGTAATCGCCTTTATCGGGCACTACTTTGTCTGAGGGGGCTAGGACGCGATGCCGGTTAGCCTCCTGCAACAAGGGCCTTGGCTTTGATATGATCATAGCTGCAGGCCCCGCCTTCGTCGGTTTCGGCGGAACCTGTTGATCTCGTCGCGCCAATCGCCGCACTGAGCTCAAGTTTCGGGACACGTGCAACGTTCCCGTCTCCTGGACGGGCTTACGCGTACTTCGCTTCTTCTTGGACTTCTTGTTGCCACCAGACTCGTCACCCAAAGAGAAGTTGCGCCAGTCGCTTGGCGATTCTGCGCCACGCTTCGTGCGCTCCGAGGCAACGTATAGGTCGCTCGCCATGTGTTCAGAGTCCGAAGGCACGGTTGGAGTGGCGTCCTTCGGTTTCTGCGAAGCCTCTTGACCGGTAGTGGGTGGCGCTTCCGCCGGCGACGTTGTTGCGGATGCTCCCTCGTGAGTCTTCCGCGAGCTGACGATTTCGAGAGCGATATGCTGCCGGTAGGCCATCACATCTTCCCAGCTTGTCGGCACCCGTACGGGCAGTGGAGCGACGCTCTGCCTGGGTTTCTTCGATGCGGGAATGAATGGGAAAACAACGTTTATAAATTTACCGAAGCGTGAAGTGGTACAGCCACTCATGTGTGGTTAGGGGAGGCAGCATTGACTGACATTTTCGCTCTAAAAGCGTTCATAATTGCTCCACTGGACAGATAATGTGAAGCGAGAATGACGGAAGTAGCAGAAGCAGTATAGGTGGGATGTCACCGCAAACAGCCACCAACTAACCAAATTCATGGTTATTCTGATTTTTTGTGAGCACTAGATGCTTGCCATTGGTTGGTCGTCGTTGCTTTTGTAAAAAAAATTGCTGAGGTTTATTTTTATGACCAGTGATGATGCAGTTGTACCTTCTTGTGCATATGAAACACACCATTTCTAGAATTGGGTGACTCGAGTAATTTTGAGCAGCTATATAATGTTTTTTAAAAGGTGCATAGCGTCCTCATCGCGACACGCCCATTGAAACGTTTGCATCGTGGCGATGAGAAATCAGAAAGGGAGAAAACTATTTTTCCCGTTTCATATAGGTTTTCCTTCGGCTTGCCAGGCATTATTTGCCATTGCCAACGTTTTAATAAAATTTCCAATGAAGCGCCCCGCACTCCAGATATCCCACATTTCTTTCATGATAGTCCCACAGGAAATGTACATCCTTAAAGCAGCTTTCACTTTCGTCATGTGTTCGGAAGATAATTCAATGGAACGTATAGAAGTATTGCACGTAGCTATCCTTCACCAAAAAACACTTGCGAATGGTCAGCCGAATTCACAATGTATCCATTTCGTAAGTACGTTTTTTCAAATACACAGACTGCTTCGCTAAGGATATGTGCAGCATAGTGGTTGGCTGGAGTAACGTCTTAGGAAAGTTTTTTATCGTAAAAAAAAGGTTTCGTGAATGCAGACAGATAATATTTGTGTCACCTAAAAGCGTCATTGACTAACCAATCTAGACACAGTGAGCGTTGCCGTTTGCCTATATAAGCTCGGCGTATTTGACATGTCCTGAAGGGAGGCTTGTGTTTACCTTGACCCCCTTTGCCCGCTGCGGTGGTTTTGTGGCTAAGGTACTCGGCTGCTGACCCGCAGGTGGCGGGATGTAATCGCGGCTGCGGCGGCCGCATTTTCGACGGAGGCGAAAATGCCGTAGGCCCGTGTGCTCAGATTTAGGTGCAGATTAAAAAACCCCAGGTGGTCGAATTTTCCGGAGCCCTCCACTGAGGCGTCGCTCATTATTATATGGTGATTTCGGGACGTCAAACCCTACATATCAATCAATACTTTGACCCCTTTCGTGTGTCTACTGTATGCTAAACATGCACAGCATTTTCTTCGAAGTCATTGATTTTGTTTTCACGAGAAGAAGTGGTGTGGTAGATGTACTTGAATATCGTCGCATATCAATGGATGTATCGATTGAAGTAAATAAGAGCTAGTAGGTATTAGTGTTGGTCTATTGCTAGTTCTTTTGCACATGCCTAATGATTTCGCGCTAATTAGAGCAGTGCTACTCCAACTAGTTCAACAGACTGCCCTATGGGGCTCACCAGCTTTGTGCATTCCAGCAGTGTGAGTGCGAATACCGTGATGGAGCTGAGCTCGAGCGCCCCGAACCAGATAATGATCAAAAGGAGCCATGGAGGATAGCCATGCCACGAAGTGCCTGCGACCTTGCCGAACACGACAACCTGAGAATTGTTGAGGAAGTAAAAAAGAAAAGAAGAAAGTATTTTTATAACTTCGGCTTGCCAAGGCTGGCTGTGTTACGTCATGCTGTTTTCTTGCCTATTTTTTTCCTTCGTAACCTCATACCCGTCAGCTTCACGAATGCGTGCCCGTGTTTGTGCGTTTTACAATAGAGTACGACGAGAAAAAGAAATTAAGGAATTACGCAAGCTAAAAAGACGATGCGACTTACTTGGATTTAATCTATGAATATGTTTCTGCATAAACAAATAGCACAAGTTTTCTACAAATTTTATTGAATAACACAATTTTTCTACAAATTTTACTGAGTATGAAGTTTTAGGTATTACTAACACTACCAGGTTTTCGGCTCACAACTTCCAGCTTTTCAAGATTCATACCAACTATGGTAAATGATCTTCATAACCTCTGTGTCTTCTCATTATGGAACTTCTTACCCTTATCACTAAAATGTAATTGTTTTATTTCACTTAAAAGTACATTTAAACATTATTTTTTAAATTTCTGAAGTTTATTTATTTAAGTGTACCATATTTATCGCTATATATTGTAGTACTGATGCGTGTTTTACTTTCACATGTTTTTGTTTTTTATTCTAGTTTAGGCATTCTTTGCTTGTTCAGTTGTTCTAGTTTTGTGAGGTCTTTAGGTTTACTCTTTATATGCAGTGTTTTTGTTTTTGGTCTCTTGCCTTCTTGCTTTTCATATTCGTTTTTTTTCAATTCTGACTGCTGCTTTTAATTGTTTTATTCGATTGTAAACATAACCGAGGGTCCCTTTGCAGTCGCGTACTTTGGGAGTATGTTTTATGCTTTTTATTCATTCTTTCTGTCTTAATAAATCTCATTGATTGATTGATTGATTCTGAGGCGCGTCGTAGTGAGGGAGCCGTTATAAACGTTGACTACATGGGTGAAAATTTGATTTGCTGCACAAGCTTGAAGGAAAACAAGGGAGACAGGAAAGAGCGCAGTTCCTGTCTCTCTTGTTTTTCTTCAAGCTTGTGCAGCAAATCAATTTTTTAGGTATGAACCTACTAGTTTGCTGCACAAGCTTGAAGGAAAACAAGGGAGACAGGAAAGAGCGCAGTTCCTGTCTCCCTTGTTTTCCTTCAAGCTTGTGCAGCAAATCAATTTTTCAGGTATGAACCTACTAGTTTGCTGCACAAGTTTGAAGGAAAACAAGGGAGACAGGAAGGAGCGCAGTTCCTGTCTCTCTTGTTTTCCTTCAAGCTTGTGCAGCAAATCAATTTTTCAGGTATGAGCCTACTAGTTTGCTGCACAAGCTTGAAGGAAAACAAGGGAGACAGGAAAGAGCGCAGTTCCTGTCTCTCTTGTTTTCCTTCAAGCTTGTGCAGCAAATCAATTTTTCAGGTATGAACCTACTAGTTTGCTGCACAAGCTTGAAGGAAAACAAGGGAGATAGGAAAGAGCGCAGTTCCTGTCTCCCTTGTTTTCCTTCAAGCTTGTGCAGCAAATAAATTTTTCAGGTATGAGCCTACTAGTTTGCTGCACAAGCTTGAAGGAAAACAAGGGAGACAGGAAAGAGCGCAGTTCCTGTCTCTCTTGTTTTCCTTCAAGCTCGTGCAGCAAATCAATTTTTCAGGTATGAACCTACTAGTTTGCTGCACAAGCTTGAAGGAAAACAAGGGAGACAGGAAAGAGCGCAGTTTCTGTCTCCCTTGTTTTCCTTCAAGCTTGTGCAGCAAATAAATTTTTCAAGTATGGACCTACCAGTTTGCAAAAAAGTATTGACTTCATGGGGCTTCTTCAGACACACGGGTTTTCTTATACTTCGCCTGTAATGGGCATCGAAGCCGTGTCCACGAGCATTACTCTTTGACACCTGAATGGCTTTGACGACGAAGGATAGATTAGAAAAGAGACCGTGAAAACTGAAGCGTTACCCTGAACACTGTTATAATACCCATAGAGCTTGTGATACGGCTCTGTATTCGAACGCTGTAGCTGCTATATTTATGCAAAGTGTTCTGTTTTACAGCGTGCGAGTGTGTACACAATTTAACGGCGATGTACTTACACCGATGACGAGCGGTATGACCGACGACCAAGAGATCTTGACGAAAATGCTGGGATCTCGACTGGTCATCATGTTCTCGTCGATGACCAGTCTTCGCACACCTGCGAAAATATAGAGTCGCTAACGAGGAAAAACACACACAAAAACTGTAAGGCAAACATTGTATTCAAGGGTTCAATCCGTAGAGGTTTCAACATGCCAGGCTATAATAAACATCTATAGGCATTTTGTATGAGTCCTTGAAGTATTTTTCACTAGCTCAAAGTTTTCTCTAACAAAAGCCGAAGGCTTGAAGTGAAACTAAAATATAGCATTGAATAAATTTTTAACATCCAGAATAAAAAAAGCGGGAATCAGTGAGTTAAGAAATGTAGCATGCAGAACGCTAGCATAGCGGTCAAGCTGACCATCGACAAAGATGTCAATATCACGTCTTTCAGAATTTTGCGCCTCTGAAGGGCATGCCACCTTTCACACAGTGGTCGATCACAGAGTTTTTCACTTTCAATTATATGCTGGTCAATTTGTTGAACTCAGTATGAAATAAAGAAAGTACACTGCTGTCACATAGCTAAACAACCTTGGTGTATGAAGTTTGTGTTAGCTTAGCTAGTCGGTGTGTGCTACGTGACACTTTTTAAGCCGGTAGTTGACTTTGCGGTGTGAAAAACTGCGAAAGCTGATCTGCCCTAGCGGAGCAAATGGAATCCCAGTCTTCAATCTTTCGCACAAGTGAAACACATAAAAAACGGCTGTTTAAGGCCGCCGACTCTTCTTGACGCTAGCTAACCGAAAGCTGCCTCCGGCATGCACTTCCGCATGTGCAAGGTTTTTCATTAGATGGAGCCCATATTCACCGCAGTGGACAACTCGCCTCGCCGTGAAAACGTGGCTCGTTGGAAAAGGGAAAAAAAGCACTATTTTCTGCCGCCCTTGCGGGAGCCCGACCTAGCGCCTTGTGGGAGATGAGAGAAGAAGGTTATAAATTAATAGCGGAAAGATATAGCTAAGAAAAAAGGTAATGTAAGCGACATAAAAAAAGAAGATAGTGTAATGAAGAAGCAGTGGGTCATGCATAGCTTGAAAAACACATCGTCAGTGCTAAGCACGAGACGCTCGCCCGGACATTGTCGCTGATTTCGCTGGCTAGGCCTACGCTCCTACCTCGTCTGAAATAACAGTTCTGACTGTCTCAATTCTTTATTATATTTGGTGGAGTTTGCTGGGTCTCCTCGCAATCCCGGAGTTACGAAGCCGGACTCGACCTCCCGCTATGATCAATGCATCTGCCACAAGCCCTCCGCCTAAGGCTCTCCAGGCCATCGTGTGCTCCGGCACTGTCCGTCAGCGGCCACTGTCGGCATTTACCTCAGTGGCATTGCCCACTTATGGCTTCGGAACCATGAGACCGACGTTCCCACCTGGACAGCATTCAAGGCAAAGTTCAGCGAAGTCTTCGGTCGTTCTCCTGTCAGCAAAGTACGTGCGGAGCAGCGCCTTCAGTCGAGATCTCAACTCCCTGGTGAGAACTTTACAAGTTACATAGAAGACGTCATTGACTTGTGCAAACGCGTCGATGCGAACTTGACAGAGGTAGACCGTATCAAGCATATTTTCAAGGGTATTGACGAGAACGCATTCCAAATGCTCATTTCAAAAAGCCCGGCTACTTTCGCCCAAGTTTCCGAGCTCTGCCAAAGCTATGATGAGCTCCGCCGGCAACCTCTCGTCACCCACCGTGCTGTCCCACATCAGGAATCGATGTCTGGCTTGACTCTCTCGCAAGATCCCGTCCTCCTCTCGCAGATCAAAGATTTTGTGCGCAAAGAAGTTGCCCGCCAACTGTCACTTATCCCCAGCCTTCCGGCGCGCAGTGCGTCACTTAGCTCTACACTACGGACTATTATACAAGACCAAGTGTCTGAGGTCCTTCCTCCGCAGCTGGTGCCACCAGTTAATGCACCATTGACGTATGCCGAAGCAGCAGCACGACCACGACGACAAACGTTACGAGCGGCGCCTCCACTGCCTGCTCCTATTTATGCTGCCCAGCCGCCACGACCACCAGTCCACCGAGTTCCTAATCCATGGCGCACTGCCGACAACCGACCAATCTGCTTTTCGTGTGGTCTACCCGGACACGTCGCACGTCTGTGCCACCACCGCCCACTCCATTCACGTGAAAACCCACGTTAGTATGAGTACGACCACACGTTTCCCTACACTCCGGACCCTGAATTGCACCCTCCTCGACCAAGCCACTGACCTTCTTCTGATCGCCGATCTCCTTCTCCACGTCGTCGCTCGCCCTCCCCGTTGCGCTGACGCCCCCCTACAATTGACGCGGAAAACTAAATGACGCAGTTCCCGAGGCAAGAACTGCGTCCTCGTCGCAAAGCGCCAGCCCTCTTCATTCGCCGCCGAATGTAATTATTGCCGTTCTTGAAGGTGTACCTGTACTTGGCCTTATTTATACTGGTGCCGCCACTTCTGTAATTGCCGAAAAAGTTTACCGTTCAATTCGTAAAGTTACAACTCCTAACTTGGGTTCGTGTCTTCGTACTGCCACTGCACAGCCTGTGCAGCTTGTGGGCGCGTGTACCACTAGACTTGTAATTCAAGGAGTGCCCTACACAGACCAGTTCGTAGCACTCCCGCACTGTACTCACGACATCATTTTAGGCTGGGATTTTCTCTCCGATCACCAAGCCGTCATTTATTGCGCTCGTGCCGAAGTCGTTTTTTGTCCCTTGGTGATGCCCTGCCTGCGGACGATCACCCTTCCTATGCGAAGTTGGTCATTAGTTACGACACGCAGATCCCTCCGCGTGCTACTGTCTTCACACCTGTGTCTTGTTCCGCCGCCGTCGACGCTACCGCATTCTTCGCGTCTTCCGCTGCTTTCGTTCATCGCCACCTATCACCGCTCCCAACCGCTGTCGTTACTCTTCAAGGTGGTGGGACCGACGTGCCTGTGGAGAATCCGTTCTCATTCACAATTACGCTGCTTCGGGGCGAATGTATCGGTTCAATCGAATCATTCGAAATCATCGCTACACTTGACGTTCCTGATGGATCATTGGAAGTCAGCGCCCTCTCCTGTAGTTCCGAGAATGGCCCTTCAACTGCCGATGTTTTCAACAGTGTCATCGACGAAGGCCTAAACCCTCAACAGAGGTGTGAGCTTTTGAACCTTCTTGACAAGTTTCGGCCATCTTTTGACAGTAACAGTGCTACCTTAGGTCGAACATCTACTGTATGCCACCAGATAGACACAGGTAATCACTCACCACTACGGCAGCGACCGTACCGTGTTTCACCGACTGAACGCCGTGTCATCGAGGAACAAGTAGGTGACATGCTAAAGCGCGGCGTCGTTCAACTATCAAACAATCCTTGGGCATCGCCAGTTGTTTTAATTAAAAAGAAGGATGGCACAATACGCTTTTGCGTAGATTACCGTCACCCAAACAAAATAACACGAAAGGATGTTTATCCTTTGCCTCAGATCGATGACGCCCTTGAATCTTTACAAGGCGCAGAGTTCTTTTCCTCCCTGGATCTACGCTCTGGGTATTGGCAAGTGCCCATGAATCCGAATGATAGACCAAAAACTGCCTTTGTTACACCAGACGGCTTATACGAATTTAACGTGATGCCATTCGGCCTATGCAATGCGCCGGAAACATTTGAGCGCATGATGGACACTATCCTACAAGGCCTCAAATGGAACACGTGTTTGTGCTATTTAGATGATGTGGTGGTGTTCTCGCCCTAGTTGCCCACGCACCTTCGTCACTTGGAACAGGTTCTACGCTGCCTTTCTGCAGCAGGCCTCCAACTCAATTTGAAGAAGTGTCACTTTGGAGCGCGCAAGCTCACCATTCTCGGACACGTCGTGTCGAAGGATGGCGTTCTCCCTGACCCCGCTAAGCTGCGTGCTGTAAGTGAGTTCCCGAGGTCTGCGTTTCTCAAGGAGCTGCGTAGTTTCATTGGGCTCTGCTCATACTTCTGCCGCTTCGTCCGGGATTTCACCTCGATCATGGAACCTCTGACAGACCTACTTCAGGGAGACCGCAATCTATCTGTGTGGTCTCCAGCCTGCGACAGTGCCTTTGCGAAGCTCCGTGAACTGCTTACATCACCACCCATACTGCGACATTTTGATTCAAGCGCTCTCACGGAAATCCACACGGATGCTAGCGTGTCGGTCTTGGCGCTGTACTCGCCCAACGAAAGCCTGGCTACAAAGAATATGTTGTTGCGTACGCGAGCCGCACTCTTACAAGAACAGAAGCAAATTATTCGGTAACTGAGAAAGAATGCCTAGCGATCATCTGGGCCATTAAGAAATTTCGGTCTTATCTATACGGCCGCCCTTTCGACGTCGTTACCGATCACCACGCGCTCTGCTGGTTATCCTCCCTCAAGGATCCCTCCGGACGCTTGGCACGATGGGCTTTATGGCTCCAAGAGTACAACATCCGTGTCATTTATCGCTCAGGCCAAAATCATGCCGATGCCGATGCTCTTTCGCGTTCGCCCGTTTCTACTGATATTGCGAGTGTCTCCGTCCAAGACAACTTACTTTCGCTATCAGGACCCATCAACAAGGCTGTGGAGCAGCGCAAAAATTTGTGGATTGCGTCTCTGATGAATTACCTATCTGGAACACTCGCCCACCCGCCATCTCGAGCGCTACACCGACAAGCCTCTCACTTCGCCATCCGTGATGGAATACTTTATCGCCGCAACTACCACCCTGACGGCCGCAAAATGCTACTCGTCATACCAGGCATCTCCGTGCCAGCATATGTGCTGCTTTTCATGCCGATCCGCAGTGTGCACACGCCGGTCTGTTTAAAACCTACGCCAGGCTACGTTTTCGGTTTTATTGGCGCGGCATGTACACATTCGTTCAAAAGTACATTCGATCTTGCACAGAGTGCCAACGCCGCAAGCACAATCCTAGCCGTCCTACTGCACCAATGCAGCCGTTACCGTGCCCAGTGCGACCATTCGACCGGGTTGGAATAGACCTTTATGGTCCTCTGCCATATACATCAGCTGGGAATAGCTGGATTATTGTAGCAATCGATCATCTCACAAGATATGCAGAAACGACCGCTCTACCAGCCGCGACAGCACATGACGTTGCGTATTTCCTGCTCCAACGTTTTTTTCTTCATCACGGCGCTCCGCGTTGTTACGAAAGACGGCGACGCCAACACGGTCCCGAAGGCGCCACTGCTTCGATCTCCGCCGGGAAGGTCACCAGCCGTTTGTAGCGTATGTTTCTCAGCTCGCGACTGCTTCTGCGCAGAGCTGATAAGACGAGCGGACGAGACGACGGTGAGTTAAACAAGGTTTATGTACAGCATATATACAGAGGCGTTACAAATTCGGCACTGGGGCCGACAGAGACTCGAAGAGCCGAGCTCTCCTCTCTAACACATAGCTCTGCTCTCAAACGGGTCTGCTCTGACACACATGTCAGCTTTCACCTAGGACCGCCCGATCGCGACGCGCCGTAGGGCTTCTTTTATTTGCACCGGGTCCAACCAAAATGTCCAATCAGAAGCGCCGCTGGTCGTCAGGGCAGACTCCTCCAATGGGGTCGCCGCGCAATGCGTCAGACTCCCAGACATGAAGACGCCAGTTGTTTACTCGACGGGCTCGCTTCCACGTGCGCTGACTCACTGCACGTGCATGCCAGAAAGGCGCCGTTGAGTTGTTGATCGCGTCAGGCGGGCGACGCGGGCTGGCCTTGACACAGATTGCCTTTTTCAGAGGCACGGCCGTTCGCTGTGGACTCGCAGGCATAACAGCGTGAACTTTTGAGCGACCGAGGCCGCGTCTTTCTCGCAGATGTAATTCAAGGCCTTCTTGCTGAATGCCATGTAGTTCACCGCTGTACATCGTCCACAAACGAACGGCTTGACCGAACGTTTCAACCGCACTCTTGGCGACATGCTTTCTATGTTTGTCGCCTCCGACCACACCAACTGGGATCTTATCCTTCCATACGTAACGTACGCTTACAACACGGCGCCTCAAGCAACGACCGGCTTTTCTCCCTTCTTTTTACTCTATGGTCGAGAGCCATCATCTCCAATCGACACCATTCTCCCCTACCGACCCGACTCATCCGAAGGCACACCAGTTTCCGAAGCCGCTCGGTATGCGGAAGAATGTCGGAAATAAGCTCGCAGCCTTACAACACAAGAGCAAGGGCTACAGAAATTTTGTCACGACGATGGGTGGTCCCACTACCAGTATTCACCCAACTCTCTTGTTTGGCTGTGGGTGCCTCCCACTGCGGCTCCTGGTACCTCTACAAGGTTCGGCAGCAGGTACCACGGGTCTTATCGCGTCATACAGCGAACTTCCGCTGTCAACTACCTCATCGAACCCCTCACGCCCACTCTGGACCTGCGTCGCCGAGGCCGCAAAATCGTACACGTGGATTGTCTCAAACCGTATCTCGAACCACTTGTCCTCACGACACCTTAGAACAGCTACTTGGCTCCGTCATCAGCGAGGGGGAAATATGTAATGAAGAAGCAGTGGGTCATGCATAGCTTGAAAAACACATCGTCAGTGCTAAGCAAGAGACGCTCGCCAGGACATTGTCGTTGCTTTCGCTGGCTAGGCCTACGTTCCTACCTCGTCTGAAATAACAGTTCTGACTGTCTCAATTCTTCATTATAATAAGAAAGATGGGAGCCGTTCGAAAAAGTCCGAGGACGGAGCACCACACGGTTAGAGCCGCACGGCGTCAGGAGGTCGCGGAGGGCGAACCAGTCGGCGAGAGGTACGCGTTGGAGATCGCGGGCGGCACAACCGTTCAGCTTGAAATACTTCGAGCAACCGGCGAACTGTCCAGGTGATGAAGAAGCGGCAGTTCTCTTCTTCTAACCGGGTCTCCCCTTACCTAAGAAAATTTCTTAACACACGGTAAATGGCAAGTACTTGCGTCCAAGCATCCCCTAGAAACGAAGCGTTGCAGCAGCAGTGAATGTGCAAATCGAAGTAAAATGGTAGCATGCTGCTCGCAACTGTCTCTGCCTCTCTCCGGCTTTCCAGGCGTGTAATTGAGAAGTTAAAACATGCTGCAGTTCTCGACGGGCAACACCAAAATTTCTTGGCCGCCATTATGGTTGAATACTTGCGTGGCCAAAATCCTAGACTTGGATCAATGACAAGACTGGCATGCCTGAGCAGAGGCAGAGTTGGCGCCCTCCCCCCCTCATATTAGAGCATAGAGATGCAAACTTTCATTCACCGACTCACCATAGAACTGAAGGATGACCACCACCTCGAGCGCGACCATCAAAAGCCGAAAGGACTGGTCCTGGCTGTAGGCCAACACAGACACAACGCTGGCACCTCCCTGTGCATTGGGACGGAAGTGAAAGCTTTTTCAACTCGTAACGCGTGGCACAACAAAGACAGAAATACTGCGTAGCTTCTTTCCCACTTGATGTGTTTTGCGAAATTATTTACTAGTATGAACCTTCTTGTCCACGAGAAATCGTTACCTGACGTTATTGTTACTGCTCTTTTACTGACGAATGTAGAGGTCATTTTTTCCGCTGGCATAGTAACGGGAAGTAGGCAGAAAAACATTGGAAACACGTTCAAGAGGAGAGCAGAACGCAGTCGTCAAGCAAAAAAGTGTACATAAGAAGAAACTTTTAAACAGAAAAATAGCTCTTGCAAATACATTCGTCAGATTCGTACTACACATTACGAGTAATTGTTGCTTGAACATTAAGTCGCTGTTTCGTTCATATAAGTTGTTATGGTAGGATGTTTGCTCAGACCATTTATGAGATCTTACGACTGATTACCCGGTATTTTCAAAACACCATCCATAGAGACTACTTTTTACGCTTTTGATAGTATATATTTCTCTAAAGTACCTTTTTATTAATTGGGTCGTGATATATATATAAGACTGATATTTCATATTAGCTGTAATAAAAAAAGATGCTAATATCATATGCTATAGCACAGGTAACAAATTATAGAAACAACTGAGTCTAATGCTGTCTACCTTTCCACATTTTCACGTTTAAATAAGAAAAGTTTCACTTGAGGAATTGAACAGGCTCGTTGAGGCCGAGGACCTGACTTCTCACATTCTTGTCACCTAGAGATGCCACGATAGGGTGGTCAGGTTTAACCTTACCATTCCCGAGTGGGCCTAGCGAGGTGACGTCGAGTTGACTCGCGGCTATTGTAGACCTAATAGAGTTGTTTCACTCACTCACTCACTCACTCACTCACTCACTCACTCACTCACTCACTCACTCACTCACTCACTCACTTCAAATGCAGAGTCCCTGAAAACATAAGAGTTCAGTGGAAAGTAAGTCGCACTACAGCTTGAATAGAATTCGTAGAGGTGTGCTAGCCAGGCACGTCTACCTTGTCGTAATCACGTCAAGATGAAGGCGAATGCCTATCATAGGCTGCCTAAAATCTTGTTTAGGACGCGTTTCTGGCTCTCGCACTTCAATCGAGCGCGCAAGAGTTGAGACTTATTCAGAACAAAGCGTTTACGAGACGCGATTCAGGGAAACTCAACACAATTATTTATACGGTATTCGCCATTAACTACGGGTTTAAGGACTGGTGCACCTGCCCTAAGTGTAGTGTGTTTGTGTGGGCGGAAACTTTGGCGGATACTTAATAGTAGCACTTTACACAGAAAAGATTAAGTTCTCGCAATCACGTTTGCAGCAATCTTGCATTACGTTGAGCCCAGTTATCAGCTGTTGGTGAGTACGGTCAGCACAGAAGCTGCATGGTAATCTCAGTACTTACTGAGCTGCTAGATGGTGATAGCTGGGATAGACAGTGAGGGGCTAGTTTACACTTCTTGAGGAGGTAATAAAGCTCGTCCAGTTGTTTTCCCTTCGTGTAGTCTGTGTTTTGCGTCTCTTCATACGAGCTACAACCAACAGTGAGTAAACGCCGGCCGAAAGTATTTGATGAAAACCTGCGTGTGTGCAATCGCGGCATGTTCTTAACAACCACAAGGTTTTATGGTAGTTCGTGTCACTTGGCCCGCTGTTCAATGGTTTGAGGTGGCTGTTCGTCAAAAAGCTACGCAAATGCAGCTACATAGACGACGAACAAAAAAAAACATTTTTTAAACGAGGTAATGCTTGAGGCAGCCGTATAGGGACAGAGCTCAGGTGGTTCCTCTTAAAGGGCCACTCATAACCATTCGTTTAGAAACAAGGGGGTGATTTTCTTCTCTCCTTCACACACACGATGCATCTTCCTCACCCCTTAGTTCTTGAATGCACGGGAACAATATCACACTAAGCGCTTGAGCCTACCGCGATTTCACACTTCTCGGCTGCACGGTGTTATCGCCGCTTGCACAGTTGTGAACACAGAAAATAAAGTTTGATCGGTTCATTGCGCCCAATATTCATGCGAGACAAAGAAGAACAGATGGGCGGCTGCGTGGTAAAGCAGTGCTGGAGAAAATCACATGTGATATTTCGCGTATATCAATGAATCGAGAGCATGTACTCTGCAGACGTCACGAGAATTATTGTCTGCGTCACAGTATAGTGCGCCAAGAAGGACGAGAAATATCAGGAAATAATATAGCGCACTTTTTTGTATATTGAGCGTCTGGTGAGTGGCCCTTTAAGGAAATTTTTAAAAGTGGATCCTATTTTCTTTTATAGCGATCGTGGTCGGGTACTGTAAGTTGCGTGCTCTTGAAACGAAATGAAACGTCACAGGAATGCCACGGATACACGAATATCTCTTATTGCGCATGACTAAGTTTCACTCACGCTGCTGCAGCCGATGATGCTTATGATGAACATAACGCTGCAGATGATGAAGTGTGCCACAAGGCGGTGCCGCAGCACGTAGGGGTGCGGCAGCGACAGTGCCTCGATGATAATGTCTGGGACAATCAGCTGTACCAAAAATAAATAAAATATGTAAATTCTTGCGCAATTCAATACGAACGCAACCAAATGATGATGATGATGATGGTATGTGGGGTTTAGTGTCCTAAAACGATATGATTATGAAAGACGCCGTAGTGGAGGGCTCCGGAAATTTCGACCACCTGGGGTTTTTTAACGTGCACCCAATTCTGAGCACACGGGGAACGCATCTAAACGTCCAAGGTAATTAGAAAGGCCAGCTTTGCTTATCTTCTCTTCCGTATGGGCTCTACTGTGTTACTTCGCACAGTTTAGCTAGCCAAAAAGAAGAAAAGGAAACTACGGCAAGCCGGAAGTCAGGTTCACTGAAAAACGTAGGGACGCCGACGGTTAATATGCATCACCATTTGAAGTGCTGTCACAAACGCGCCACTGCGCAGTCTCTGCTCTGCACAACTTTGCCTCAGAAAAACGCATATAATTATCCTGATTGCAAATAAAAAGTATTACGAAGAACCAATTTTTCTCAACAAAATACATACTTATTTTGGGGGTTTTCCAGAAAGTACGGCACACTTGTTTGCTTGGTCGCTCACCAGAAAGAGAGAAACACGTTTATTTACATAAGGGCAGAGGTCAGCCTGAGCGATAGCATGCCCAGACCTGCTATTCTACACCGGGGTAGGGAAAAGGGGAGAAACAAAATGTAATGGATGACGATGGTGAAATAGAAAGGCGGCTATGTACAATTCTTTTCAACTGAGGAAATTTTTCAGCCGTGCACACAGTGCAGTTACTTTTAAGGAGGCTATAACCGCCCTTATAGCCATATTTGCACTGTTGGTGCCAGGCCGAATGCCCAACATGGTCTCATCAGTTAATGACCTACTGCGAAATCGTTCAGTAAAAAAAACTGTTTGTCGTTCACGTGCGTATGTATGGCTGGGCAATCACAACAACGCTCACCAGGAAAGCTCGGTATTGTGCTGCCATCAGAATCGGCCTTCTGAGGTCTGCGTGCATCTCAGGCAGACAGTGTCACGGCAAAGTGGGCTAATGTAAGAGACGATATATTAAAACGCCACCATATTTGGGGCAGCCAAAGAACGCCTAGACCCTTGGCGCGTCCCAATTTTACCACACGCCTAAGTCCGACCGGCTCCGACGCACATTGTCATTTCTTGCCGCGATGATCGCTGACACACTTCGCATTACGTATAGGTCAAGTACTGCGGAACTGCCACGTTTTGTTTTTTGCTGTAAATTCTCACGCAAGACTTTGAATATGAATACGGTTCAGCACCTTAAGTGTACTCACCAACTTCGGCACCAGCGAGGACAGCAGCCACAGTAGGTACATTTGGCTCCAGAACTCCGGGTCGGGAGCAAGGCTCAAAGCCTGTGGCGTGATGCTAACAATAATGTTGGGCCCTGCGCAATCATAAACACAAAAATTATATTGAAGACTTTGAGACTTCGAGCAAGCAAGCACCGATGTATGAAACCATTTTATGTTGAATACATCATACTTTGCTTAATTAAACCCACATACTTATGATGAATCGTGGTCCATCGACTTCTCGTTGTAATCAACGTATGTTTACGAAAGAAAAAAAAGGTCATACATTCTATTGTAGGACGGATGTTGGCCAGGCCAGAAAACGCTAGCACGCCCGGTTATTTACAAGCAGTGCCAGTCTTCAACCATGTAGATGAAAAATCTTAAGTATTGTGATCATCATCATCATCATCATAATCATCATCATCATCATCATCATCATCATCATCATCATCATCATCATCCGGACTACGTCCACTGCAGGACAAAAGCCTCTTCCATGTTCTGCCAGTCAACTTGGTCCTGTGCTTGCTGCTGCCAATTTATACCAAGCAAACTTCTTAATCTCATCTGCCCACCTAACCTTCGGTCTCCCCCCAACGCACTTGCCTTCTCTCGGAATCCATTTAGTTACCCTTAATGACCAGATGCGGCGATGGCGTAGTGGTTAGAGCATCTACCTCCATGCAAAAGGTCCGTTGTTCAAATCCTGGTGCGGCGCAGTTCCCAACCAGATTATAAAAATCGAGTTGTGATGGAACTGCATTAAGAGGCCTTGGCTGCGGTCTCACCGGTAACCACCGCCGGTAACGCACTCCCTCACCAGAGAAGGATTGGCCACTCTGGTGCAGTATCTGGCCACTACCTCCCACATGCATACGTCAATTAACTCACGGTTCTCAGTCCCCAGCAGCTGTGAAGCAACTGACCACGGCGGTGGTCAGATCTTCAACGCAGCAGGAGGTGCTAAGAATCTCTGGATCCGGACAGGCCACTGAACTGAACTTGGGAACGTTTAACGTTTATCTCATCTGTCTTGATCTCATCTGACTTAATCTCATCTGCCTTAATCTCATCTGCCTTAATCTCATCTGTCATGATGTGAGAGTGCTTGCCAAATGTGCTCCACCCCATTCTTATTCTTCTAGTTACTTCAATCTCGTGGTTTGGCTCTGCGGCTATTACCTGTCCTAAGTAGACATAGTCTTTTATAACTTCTAATGCACTATTACCTATCTCGAAGCTGTTCTTTTCCGAGGTTGATGTACATTGCTTTCTTTCCGCAGACTAATTTTAAGACCTACCTTTCTGCTCTTCTTGTCTAATTTAGTAATGATGAGTTTGCAATTTGTCCCCTGATTAACTCAGCAGTGCAATTAGAGTGCTTGTACGCATTAGTACGTATTGTCTCGGGGTGAGATTAGGTAGAGGGTAGAAATATATTTACAGATTGTACACGGAGTACACAGTGTTCTTGATCCAACATGGCGGCGTGTCAACAACAACACGAGCGTTATTTCAGTCTTCATATTCGTCGCCTTTATGGTGCATTCGTTGATGTTAATGATGACTTGTATCATATAGCCGCCGCCGGTGAAAGCACCGTCTCGGCGCTAAAGAAAGCGTGCGATCCCGTGCAGAGGAGTACGGCTTAATGCGGGAGGCATGAACAACATCAGTGGACAGCAGAGACAATGAGGATGGAGTGTCCAAAGAGCGACCTCATAGGTTACCTCGGTCAGTTGGCGCAAGACTTTGTAAAGCCCGTTGTAGCGAGCGAGGAACTTCTACGACAGGCCAACGTGACGGGAGGGCGAGCCCAGAGCAAGACCAACGATCATGGGGAGTAAGAGACAGCTCTGGGACGGCTGTCGTAGCGATCCTTTTGATAGAGCTGCGAGGCAGAATGGCGATCCCAGGCAATCTGGCGGGTCGCTTGAGCACGAGTAGTTTCATCGCGAGCGTACTCGGTAGGAGTGTCAAAAGGCAAAGTGGGGTGACGGCCGTACAAGAAATAGAAGGGAGAAAAGCCAGCGTGTTCTGTCGTGACGAGTTGTAGGCAAACGTCACGTAAGGCAAAGTGGCTGCCCAATCGCGATGATCTGCGGGGACATACACGCATAGCATTGTCGTCAGTTGGCGGTTAAGGCGCTCAGTGAGTCCATTTGCTTGCGGGTGCTAGGCAGGGGTGAGTTTATGACTTGTGTAACACGAGCGAAGAATGTCGTCCACGACCTTGGAGAGAAATGAACGACCACGGTCGGTCAGCAGTTGACGCGGTGCTCCATGGTGGAGGATAACGTCATGAAGGAGAAAGTCCGCGACATCAGTAGCACAGCTTGTTGGTAGCGCTCGCGTGATGGCAAAGCGTGTCGCGTAGTCTGTTGCCACTACTACCCACTTATAACCACTCAGAGACGTTGGAAATGGTCCAATGAAATCAAGGAAGACGTGGTAGAACGGGTCTGTTGAAATTCAAAGAAAAGCGGCGCACAAAAAAGACGGAGACAAAGAAGAGAACCACACACAGCGCTGCACTCACAACTGAAAGTTTAATCCGAGCAACAAGAATTTAAAAAGTAATAGCCGCGCATGACAAGTGAGGTACAACGAGATTAAGTGATACGCTCATCAATAAAAGTGAACTCTTTTTTGTGCAATGTAACCGAGGTCTGGCTTACGCAAGCATCACGTGACTTGTTAATATGATAGGCTTCAGACACCTCACGGGTGAATTGATCGTGGTGCTTAAAAATAATAACAGTGTTAGACAGAAGAGGTGTGCACCCACACGTGGCACAATGCGAAGCTAAATGGGAAGGCGTGCCGTTATGCAAAGAGAGATAGTGCTCCCGCAACCTTTTATTGATACAGCGGCCCGTCTGTCCCACATAATGAAGGCCACAAGATAAAAGAATTGTGGCCTTCATTATGGAAGAATTGTGGAATTGTGGCAAGATAAAAGAAAACGCCAACGACCCAGGCGTTCAGAAGGATCTTTGAGGGAGGACAACCAGCACAGGGCGTGGTGATCCGTGATGACCGAAAAGTGGCGGCCGAACAAGTATGGTCGGAGTTTTCCAACCGCCCATACAAGAGCGAGGCACTCGCGCTCAGTGATGGAAAACTTGCACTCGGATGGGGAGAGGAGTCGACATGCGTAGGCGATTACACGATTTTGACCCTGTTGGCGCTGGGCGAGGACAGCGCCAATACCGTGTCCACTGGCGTCGGTGCGAACTTCAGTAGGCGCTGAAGGATCAAAATGACCGAAGATGGGCGGGGAAGTGAACAGCGCAGTAAGCCGGCAAAACGAATCGGCTTGCTGGGGACCCCAGGAAAATGACGTGTCCTTCTTCAGTAGCTGTGTTAAAGGATGGGTAATGTCGGCGAAGTTGTGAACGAAACGCCGGAAATAGGAACAGAAGCCGACAAAGCTCCGTACATCTTTCGTGGAGCGTGGTGTGGGGAAATCTTTGACGATGCGAATTTTTTCGGGATCGGGTTGCACGCCTTTAGCACTGACAAGATGGCCGAGCACAGTGATTGTTTGGCAGCCAAAATGGCGTTTGAAGTAGTTGAGCTGTAGGCCTGCCATTCTGAAAACTTCCAGAACAGCTGACAGACGGCTAAGGTGACTTTCGAATGACGGCGAGAATACAATGACGTCATCGAGATAACAGAGGCACGCTGACCATTTGTAACCTTGTAGCAGAGAGTCCATCATTCTCTCAAATAAAGCGGGAGCGTTGCATAAGCCAATGGTCATTACCTTAAACTGGTATAAGTCCATCCGGTGTAACAAATGCAGTCTTTTCACGGTCTCATTCGTCGACGGAAATCTGCCAGTATCCTGAACGCAGGTCGATAGAGGAGAAGTCGGCAGACCCGTGCAGGCAGTCGAGGGCATCGTCAATCCGTGGCAGTTAGTAGACGTCCTTGCGCGTGGCCTTCTTTAAGTGACTGTAGTCGACGCAGAAGTGCCAGCTGCCATGCTTATTTTTTACTAGGATGACTGGTGAGGCCCATGGACTGCAAAGTGCTTCAATTACGTCTTTTGTGAGGATTTCATCAACTTCACGTTGGGTGACGTGTCGCTCTGCATGTGACACGCGATAAGGACGTCGTCAGACTGGGCTGGCGTCTCTAGTGTTGATCCTGTAACAACTGACGTCTGACCTAAAGGCTGTCGCCAAAGTCGAAGATGTCCCTTAAGGATGCCAAGATATGCCGGAGATCGGCTTCATGTTCTGGAACGACGTCTGGCGCGATCATCTTGTCAAAGTCGGCATCAGTTGAGCTCTGTGAAGAGGATGCAGTAGCAGGCAAAGGAGCGTCTGCAATGCATGCAGAAACAGAATGTTCACTAATAGAAGAGACGTTGGCTAGAGTCATGCCATCTGGAAGAACTTGAGCGCACCAGCTGAAGTTCAGTATCGGTAGCGACGCCACATTATTCGTAATCGTCAACACAGCAAAAGGAAAGGCAACATTTCTGTCTAATAACACGTCCAAAATCGGTGCCACCCCATAATCGCTGTGAGGTACCGGAGGAAAAGACCTCACGGCTACATAAGTAACGGCTTGGGGCGCTAGGCGAACGTACCGGACAGAACACAAACATGGTTGAGGTGTAGTTGAAGTGACATAGCAATAAGGTTGGTCAAGCTGAAGCAAGCCTATTCCACAGTCAATTAAGGCAGAGTGCGCGGCAAGGAAGTCCATGCCCAAAATGAGTTCATGAGAGCATTCTCGGGCACTGCAAAAAGCACAGTTGTGGAGCGGTCAGCAACACTAACACGTGCGGAGCACATCCCAAGCACAGGAAAAGTGCCACCGTAGGCGACTTGTATGAGCGGCACTGTGGGTGGTGTTAAAACCTTTATTAAGGCGGCGGCGGAGCTCCGAGTTCATCACCGAAATGTCGGACCCTGTGTCTACAAGGGCAACAACATGTGCATTGTCTACTTTAACGTCTATGAGGTGTCGTCGTGTCGGCATATTCAGAGGATTTGTCTGGCGAATCGTCGATGCAGCATCACCTCTGAAAACTGCATATCCTAGTTTTCCCGAGCCAGGTGTGCAGTCGGCGAAGAAGGACTGCAAAATTGGGGTGAGCGCGACGATCGAGACAGTGCTGAGCAAGACTGGTGGCCGGGAGGGGATGGTGACCGACAGTGCACCGTCGACGAACCGTCACCACCAGCTGGCCGAGGTGACTCGTGGTGAGTTCTGATGTGGCGATCATCTGCCTCTGTGCGATGGTTGTAGCCATAGGAAGACTGACGCCAATACCACCTGATATTGCAATAGCGGATCACGTGGCCAACACGATGGCAGTTAAAGCAAATGGGCTGGTCATCAGCAGTCCTCCACTCAGCGGGATTGCGAGAGCGCGCTGGTAGCCTCTGGCCTGGGGCGTAGCAAACTGGCGGACGACGGTCAGTCGGTCGGGAGGGGGCGGCAGTGCACACAGATTCCAGGCACCGTTCGAAAACTCTTGGCGAACGATGGCATGCACTAAAGGCACCATTTGGAAGCTGGACTCACAGGCACGAGAGAAAGTTGAAGCGGTAGACATAGCTTCAAGTTCTCGAAGGATGATCTTCGTGACGTGCTCTGCAGTGAGCGGTGCCTGTAGTGCAGGCATGTCTTCACACGACCACGTTGCTGCGGTGTTGGGAAGTCGAGCGAACTGATGGGAAATGCGTCGGCTTTTGGCGGCCTCAAAACGCTGGCACACTCGGAAAATGGCATCTACTGTGTCACTGTCCTTGCAAATTAGCAAAGTGAACGCGTCATTGGCAATGCCTTTTAATATGTGCGCTACCTTCTCGGACTCATCCATGCCGTCATCTGCTTTGCGGCAAAGGGCGAGCACGTCCTGCATGTAAGACAGGTACGACTCCAATGACGTTTGAGCCCGAGATGACAGCTCCTTCTTGGCCGCTGTCTTCCTGCCAGTCAGTTTGCCGAACAGTACACGCATGTTTTTTTTGCACGCATCCCAGCTACCGATTCCCGCTTCGTGGTTCTCAAATTACACTTTGGCTGTCCCCTTCAGGTAAAATAGTATGTTCGCCAGCATGAGTGTTTTGTCCCAGTGATAATTCCTGTTTGTTCACTCGTATAGCGGCAACCATTCTTCAATGTCGACATTGTCGGTCCCGCAGAACGTGCTTGGGTCTTTCAGCTGGGGCAGAACAGGTGTCGTCGTTGAGGTGGCTGCTGCGGGAGCTTGAGCCGGACCCTCTCGTGCCATCGTGGAAAAAACCAAGCGTCGGCCGCTGCGTAGCTCCGCCTTGTTACCCGCTCCACCACTAAAATGTCACGGGATGAGAGTAGGCAAAGGGTAGAAATATATTTACGGATTGTACACGGAGTACGCAGTGTCCTTGAACCAAGATGGCGTAGTGGCAACAACACGAGCTTTTGTTCAGTCGTCCTCTTCGTCTCCTTTATGGTGCATTCGTTGATGTTAATGATGACTTGTATCAGTATTGTAGTGGCTACGTACAAATGAGTGCTTCTAAAGTTCTGTCAAAAGCTACAGGGTATTTCTTCGTGCCAATATCAGTGAACGTCGTCGTCTTCTGTAGACTCAATTCCACTTTGTCTCTGCCTGAAGTTTGATGTCACGACCTTCTGCGGCAAAGATGCCTTCATCGTACACTCGTGGTACGTCCATGTGGACATGAATTAAGCGTTATTTGTCCCACGGTTGTTATTTCAGACCACGGATAGCTTGAAACCGCCGTTTGAGGAACATATGTCGAGGTCCTGGGTGACGGTCCTACCCGCTGGATAGCCAGCCCACTGCTAGCCTTCAAGGAGCGAGGCGCCTTTAAGCGCCCTTTGAAGCGTCCTTTGAAGCGGTCCTAGGCGCACCATTTAAGAGGGACTTGCGGTTGTCTTCGCTTTCACTTTTGGCTTATCTTCCATGTTTTATGTTCATTCTCACAGCACAAGGGGCATACCCATTTCAAAGTAATATATTGCCTTAACATATAGTGACGTAAATGACATCAAATAAAGATGGAATGAGGTTCTTGATTTTGCTGAACGCCAAGAAGTGGGTTTAGTTAATTCACTGTCATGGTGCTTACGAGGACCATTCATAAAAAGCTCGGGGACTTGCACTTAAATTCGCAAACTAATCACGGTTTGAGAAGACTTGAACACTGTATTTCAGCTTGTTTTAACGTGTTTGAAAATAAAAACATCGACATCTTTAATATACATAAAAAACAACTTAAGAACCTTCTCATCCAAAATGGCGGCGTGTAGTTTAGCTTCTTCTAGTTGTCCGGCTACAATACTATATGTAAAAGAAACACCCTATAATAGTGCTCGTATGTAACATGGCATCCAATGATATTTGCTTTCTTTGACACTTTTTTTTGTTGCTTTTTTACCAGTAAAACATGCAACATTTCACTCGTCAGTGTTTCCCTTGTGCTATAAAGCTTGTGCTTTTCGCATACCCAGTGTTGTAAACGTTGTATAATCATTTTGTAATACTTTGGTAGCCGTTTTGCAACGTGTGCATTGTTTCATGATTGACCGCACGCTGTTTTCTTTTGATTTTGTTGTTTTTCTCTCTTTGTGGTTTGCTTATTTTATGTGAACCTGAAACTGATGTAATTTTGATGAATTTTCTCATTTCTTGAAGTTTTGAAAATCAACGTCAAATTGTTGTTTCATGTTTTGTGCTCTGCGTATTTTTGTAATGCCAAGTGAAAAGGGGTAGGAGCCTCGTCAAGCTGCTAACATAGCAGCTTTTTGCTCTTATCCTTGCGTTTTCTTTTTCGCAACTCTGTGAAGAAAATGCTCAATAAAACTGAAACTGAAACTGAAATGAAAAGTATAAAGAGATGAAACTTCGCTGGTTCATATCAGTGCGCCCAAGTGCACCAAATAGTGCAAAATTGCTTTGTATATTTTGGCGTGCAGTTTTTTTAACGTGATTGTATGCAGGAAAACATTAAGAAGAAACGCATTACTCTCTGTGTAAGAAATGCCTTGTTGCCTTGACTTGCATTAATGCTGGCCTACGCACCATATTCAATGAGCAACGGGACATCGACACCCATCCTGGCGGACAAGTAGCCGAGGTACAGGAAAGCAGTGAAGGTGCCGATACCCTTGCAAGCGGTGTCAGCCACGAGCACGTACAGCACGTCTCTGCACAAATTGAATCCACACCGCATGTTAGAACGTGGGTTTCATATAGTCTTTCGTCACTATCAGAAAACTTTGCACGTTTGTTGTAACTTTCCTGTACTATACATCTCGATAATGATACCAAGCATAACACGTAATGTCCACGCCTGCACGTACCATATCTGCCTTGTCTACGTCATTTTCACTATATATAATGGAAGCGTGAAAAAAAAGCGCCAGAGAAACCTATATAGCTCTGAGAAGGCACTGACGTCTGGCTGCTAAGCGTGTTGAGGTGTAATAAAAAGACATTAACGGCGCTTGTAATATTTAGCATACACTTCAAGCACTCAGAACGATGAAAGCGCACCTGCATGTATCCAGCGTAACGCGTGCAGAATCAAAATCATGAAAGTGTTCACCATCGCTCTTACTGTATTGGCGCCCCTATCAAATTAGGTTCCTCCACTGATAATTTCGAGCCTGCGCTGTATAGGTGGTGTCCGCAGCGGCAAACCCTTGTTTAACTTCAACCGATGATCTGGTTAAGCGAGGGGTTGGGCAGTATCGCGTAGCCCCGAAATGATGCCTGGCTATGACGTCACTGTGCGTTCCCTTGGTACAACCACTTGGTACAATGGAGTCTCGCTTCGCATTGAAAGAGAAACATTGTGGCCGTTAGTGAGGTACAGGACATTTTTATGGAGATAGATTACGTTGATATAAGCAAAAGAACGAGCAAGAGAGGAAAAAAGAAAGAGTAAGACAGAAATGGAAAGAGGAACAAAACTTGGCATAACATTGCATAATATAGTATAGCGACGGATGGAAAAGGAAAATGAGGTTGAGGGGCTTATATCGCTCCTTACTCACGTGCTACGGACGCTAAGCTCAAACCGCGTCGCACAACTCTTATAAATGTGACAGACAGAATGAAGCAAGCAGCACTGGTGGCCTGACGGACTCGGCTATACCGTCATGCTGATTCCTGGTGTCATACAGGACATCAAAACCATCTAGGCCAAGTCTAGGCCGTGCTCCCAGCCGCCCATCGAACGAATGCCAGCATAGAATTCGTGAAACCTTAGGAGCCGTTGTGGTTCGAAGGCGATGTAGGCAAGCGCTGGAGCCTTTTCAAGCAACGTTTCGAGCTCTTTTTACCAACTACAGAGCTTGCAAATAAACGAAAGGTTGTGTGCTTTGACGAAAATTGCGTTCCTGTTGAGCGTCGCTGAAAAGGAAGCCATCGAGGTGTACAACGCATGCAGCTTTACTGAAGGCCAAGATAAGCATGACTATAACGTAGTAATCGAGAAGTTCGACGACTTCTGCTCTACAAAAGTCCATGAGGTAGTACATCAGCGTTATCTGTTCCGCACACGAAAGCAGGAGCCAGGTGAGCGTTTTGAACACTTTTTATTTTTTACGAGACATGAAGACGAAGGCAGGAGCATGCACCTTCAGAGAGGAAGAAGAGTCAATGATGAGAGACCTAATTGTTTTTGGTACAAATGACGCTAAGACTCAGGAGGAGCTTTTGTCCGAGAACTAGTAAACGTTGCAAATGGCCGTGGAAGTAGATGCAAAGCAGCTGGTATAACGGCCATAAACTAAGCAATTTGCACGCGACAGGAGAAACCAATAAACGCCGTGTGCTACACTAGGCGACAGCTTTTCTTGACAGCATTTTGGAAGCTATAGAGCCGAACCGCCTGCATGCGCACGCGCCAGGAAATAGTACCTATTTTATTTTCTGATTCTAATAGCTATTTGGCCCGAATAAATAAAACTTTCTTCATTATAAGGATAGAACAAGTACGGGACGCAGCTCATGGAAAAGAAGTTATCGTGCGCCCTAGTTTTTTTTTATTTGTTGGACGCCACCAAGTTTTCCGCACGCCGGATGCGTCTGCTGCTTGCTCTTCAGCGGCGAGCACAGCATCGGCCGTGGAAAAGCTGCTCATCGTTCGGACGCGCCGTCTTTTATATATCACGCATCGAACTTTCCATCCTTATCACTGGTGGCCGCGCAAGCTCTGAAATAAGCTTCACTGCTCGCGTCTTGCGATCTACAACAATTGTGAGGCTTCTCGAACACTGAGGCGCAGTCTGCGCCGATCATTGCTGACAGCCTTTGAGGGCGTAAACCGAATACAGCAAAACTAAAACAAGACAGGCCAGTGGCCGGATCACAGGCCCGTGGCAGCAAAACTAAAACAAGACAGGCCCGTGGCCGCAACCGGCCTTCCATTTCGCCGGTACCAGGGCTCAATACCATAAACGTAAACGTTCGATCACGTGTGGCGCGTACCCGTATATACTGGGCTGAACACGGAACCTAAACTTCACTGTTATAAAGGCTGAATAATGCTGGGAAAACGTTCTGAACAACGGAAACAACTGAACGGAAACGTTCGGAACAACGGAGCCAACCCTTCGCGCAATACGGGTCGGTCTCGTCACCTCGCTATGCCCCTTCCAACGACCCCGACTTCGTGACGCCGCGTGCACCCTCTCCTCATCGGTGATCGCCCTCCCCCATGCGTCGCCGGCCCAGACCTTCTGACCAGAAAAACTAAGCACCGCAGTTCAAGAGGCAAGAACTGCGCCATTTTTGAACTGTCTACGCCCTCGCCCCTCTCCTGCTAACATGGTCGCAGTAACTGTTGAAGGTTGTTCTACTTTCGCCCTTGTAGACACCGGTGCCGCTGCCTTTCGCTACGATTGACCTTGCCGCCGGAAGAAGCAATATGTTCATACTCAACCCGCTTTCCACACCTGTCACTTTGCTTGCGGGGGAATGTCTCGGCCGCGTGCAGGATCTCGACTCTTCGTCTTTGGTTGATGTCCCGGATGACTTTTGCGACCACCCAAAATCACTGTCGGCCCTCGAGGAGTCGTCCAAGGATACGTTTTCCAGCGCCATCGCCGACACCCTCACTGCCACTGAGCATGCCGACCTGCTTGATCTTCTGCATGAGTTCCGGAATTCTTTCGATGTGTCCCAACCTCAACTAGGCCGCACGTCACAAGTCAAGCATCATGTTGACATCGGCCTACACCAGCCACTGCGTCAAACACCATACCGTGTCTCCGCTGAAGAGCGCCGCGTCATCAACGATCAAGTCGAAGATATGCTTCGTAGAGACGTCATTCGACCATCTCACAGTCCCTGGGCGTCTCCTGTCGTCCTGGTGCGTAAGAAAGACGGATCTATCCGATTTTGCGTGGACTATCGTCGTTTGAATAAGATAACCCGCAAGGACGTATATTCTTTGCAGCGCATTGATGACGCAATTGACACCCTTCACGGAGCGGAATTCTTCTCGTCGCTAGATTTGCGGTCTGGCTACTGGCAAGTTCCAATGGCTGAAGCCGATCGCCAAAAAACTGTATTTATTACACCTGAAGGACTATACGAGTTTAACGCCATGCCCTTTGGCTTTGTAACGCGCCCGCCACGTTTGAACGACTTATGGATAATACGCTACGTGGCCTCAAGTGGAATATGTGCCTCTGCTACTCCGCACCTCCACCAAATGTGAGGAGGTTTATTAGCCGTTAAAGACAGCGACGAGACAGCGTGAAGAACCGTCCAGCGATCGGCGCAGCAACGAACCGAAGCACGAGCCGAGAGAGCCGGGCGTTGGCGATGCTACTCGCTGCAGGCACATCTTCTTTTTCACATATGTAACAGTATATAAACAGCACAGTAACTAGCTGCATGTATGCACTCTCATCAAAGTTTAACTCTGACGTTCCCATTTTGCATGCATACATTTTGCTAAACACACTAGCGCAGCGAGCGAGCGAAAACCGAAACTGGAACCGAAATCGGCTGCAAGCTGCCGGACTACTTGCGTAGTAACACAAATGTGTGGAGGCCCCGCCTCCGTAGCCTTCATTCCAATGTCAAGAAAAGCTGTCGCCGAGTATAGACACGTAGTGGTTCACAGGCTAACCAACAAAATAAAAGTTCTAAATGCCGAAAGTGCGGCCGGGTGCACGCACCTTGCGAGTACTCAGCGCACGGAACAAACATGCCGCGCGTGTCATAAGCGAGAGATCACTTTACCGTGTGATGCTAGACAAAGCAGCAATAAGGCGAGCTTCAAGGCAGCGATGACGATGTGGAAGTCCTCGCGATTGGCAGTGAGAGCAGTTGGTTAGGCTGGATCATTACGGCAAAAGTTTGAGAAAAGCTTGCTCGTTTCAAAGTGGACGCATGTGGTCTAAGGCTAATTTGCAATGCTGCCGGTCGCGATGTGCGCAAAGAGGCATGCGGTGGACAGTGCGACATGACAGTGGGTGCGTCATCACGGACAGGCCTACTCTCCGCTGATTCTTGGTCCCATAAAAGGAGGGAAAGGAGGGCGGAGAGGATAAAGAATTGCGTAGGCATGTACAGTATGTGAGGAGGTGGGGAAGGGAAGTGAGTGCGAAGAGAGAAAGGAGAAGAGAGAGGGTTAACATAACACAGAGTGAAAACAGTGAGGTAACAGGGGCAGGAGGGTGACGAGGATCGGAGGCAGCATGGAATAGCAACAGGTGAGGGACAAGTAAGTGAGAGAGAGTTGGTGGTTCAAGGCCACCCGCTCAACCGTTGCCTAAGTCTTCGCACCACTAATTCGTAGCTGCGCCTTATTTTTTTCCTTTAGGCAACTATATGTCAGTATCAAAAACATTGCAAGCCTTCATAGACAAGTTGTGCAGGAAGTGTTAATCCTAAAGGTGCTTTAAATACTTTTTGCATTGCAATAACGTGTATTCATCTGAACTTCTCATTACTGTGCTAACCAACACACATCTTTGTCACGAAAAATGCCGATGTGTAACTCGTACCCATAGATTTTCACGAATATGCTGCGAAACGCTGAGGGTACACGAACTACGTTATGGGAACTTACTGGTGGCCGGACTTAGTTAAGCTGCATGTAAGGCGGCTTTTTTCCGCAATTCCTTTCTCCTTGCTGAGATTAAAGAAGGTTTGGTTTGATTTAGTCTAAAATTGCTATCTGCGGAGGCCACTTACAACAGCTGTTACATCACTTGAATTTTCTAAGGAAATCATCGAGCGACAACAACCATGTTATTGCAGTTCAATAAAAAATTGCCGCAATAGCACCACTTATTCAGCGATGGTACTCCTTAACCTTGTCGCCGAGTGTTAAGCTCTATTCTTGGGTGATAAATGTAACCGGGGAATCGCGCAGCTCACTCGTGGAAGTTGTTCTTGAAGGCGTTGAGCCTCTGGACGGCCAGGTAAACAGTTCCCGTGACACCCACGCTTTCCAAGCAGGTGTACAGAGCTTGACACCACATCTGCGAGTTGATATTATGAAGGCATGAAGTTGATAATCGATTGCGTGCGCAGTTCGAAAACACAGCTGTATTCCATATGCAATATGGAATACAGCTGTGGGCAACACCCAACAGATTCGTGGGCAACACCCAACAACTCCGCGGGCAAACCATTGATTCCCTTTCTAGATGGGAAGCTTCAGTATCTGGCGAATGCCGCATGAGGCTAATTAATCTGCTATTGTGCCTCGTGCGTAGAAGTTCTGTTGTTTATTCAAAACTCAAACCGTTTTTTATGTTATATATGGTGCGTGATGAATAAGCGTTCTGTCTATAGTCAGCGCCTATCCTTATTTGCTCATCATCCATGTTTTCTACCGCACCGTATACATCAATGATGATTCACCAACATGCCATTTATCCATGATGAAGTTAGGCGTAATGAGAACACTGGGCGAGGTCCGCAACACCTTGGTGTAAAATATGGCTTTGGTTTTCACCAAGAATTCTGGTAGCGTCTGAACTAAAACAAAAATGCAAGTAAAACAAGCTCCTTATAAAAGTGAAATCGCGCAGGTCATGGGCACCTGGGTAACCATGTGGTTGCCCGTTTCACTGTTGGAGCGAATAGTTTTGCAATGTGACCAAATAAATCTCGTTACACTTTGCTCGAATAACATTGTAGCTTTGACGTACAAGTAAAAAACACAAACACTAAAATATTCAAAATTTGTGAATTCATTATAGAGCATTTGGTCTCTGCTTAACTGTATTAGCGTTTGACGTGACTTTGGTTGTGCACGCATTTATATATATATATATATATATATATATATATATATATATATATATATATATATATATATATATGCGAGTTGCTTAAAGGGGCCTTGAAACACTTTTGTGAGTAACCATGGACTTAATTTCATTTCATTTTTATTCAAGGCAAAATCGTTACCGTTTGCCTTGGGGGACACGAATAAAGGCTGAATAAGCGCCTGACTAGGTCGTGCCACCCTGGCAGCAAAAGCATAGGCACACCAACAAGCATTTGTTGTACAGAATACACTGGTACATAATCAACCAGAATGATTACAGCATTGAAGAATATTATAAGTTCACAACTATATAACCACAGCTGTCTTAAAGTTGTATGGATACAATGAACGTGTACTCATATATAGCCACAAACAAAAGAAAGAAAATAAAAATTGTCTCTCGCCGCTACCGGGAGGGAAATGCACAAAAATATCAACATTCAATAGAAAGCAGAACCGATTTCACTGGGCACACTTTTGTACAGAAGGAGAAACCTATTAACGTACCGATCAAAAATTTTTAAAAGAAAGAGGCTATCTATAACTCAAATATCTCGTTACGAAATTGAATAAACAATCACAGGTGATTAGAACAAAGGTGTACACGAATAGAAGATATATAAAGTCACAAAATTTTAAGAATCAATAGTGTCATCATTTTCGTTTGTTAGGAGTTCTTTTGTTATTTTTTGATGAACTAAGTGATGTTCCATCCTCCAACAAATGAAGTATGGTTGGGTATTGATTTAGGATGTCTGGTATACGTGAGCTTAACCGTTCACTGGAAAAGCGGACTACTTTACAAATTCAACGGCGCAAAAAAGTTTAAGAATTCGTCCTGTACGAGCGGAGTTACAAAAATTTGGCACATGTGCACGCTGCAATGGCATTCTCTCTTGTCTCGTCAAGGCTCGAAATTGTTGCAGGGCCCCATTAACGCGGACGAATTGAGCGGACTGGATGCTCATAATACACTGTCAATTTATTTGGCCGAACTTCCGACCGTGTTGGTTACAGAAGAATCTGCAATGTTCGTTTTGTGGACGGGATCTTAACAAAATGATCCAGTACAGCCCTGAAGCTTCTCGAACGCTGCAGGCGTGCTTTGCGCTGAGAACTACACTATAACGACGTGATAACGAAAGTTACGAAGGAATGCGGCAATAGACATTTTTTTGGCTGGAGAAGCAATGTGCCGCTTTGGTCTTAGAGTCGGGCCATAATCATAAGAACACTCCTCCCACGTTACGAACTAGTTCATATCAGCTTTGCAGATATATCTGCATAAATAATGATAGTAAAGTACATTGGCATGAACCCCTGCCAAGTTTCGACGCATGTTGGCTTTCGACCTGCCACATTGCCCAAGCGGAGCTACAGGAAAATCGGTTAGGCTTATTTGAGGGCGCTGCTTTTTTTTTTACTGGAGGGAGTGCAGTCACGTATTTTTCATATTACATAGCACAGCACTGCAAACGCACATCAGTTAAATGCACTTGTAGATTTATTTTCCTCAGCCGTAGATATTAAGCCATTCTTATATCTAAAAACACGTGTGCGGGTGTTTCAGCATTGAAATGCTGCCGCCATGTTCAATAATGAAACTCGTCACCACAAGCACAGCAGCTCGGCACATTCGTTGAGCTTCTACACTCAAAGCATCTACATACATTGATCCCGGATATAACGCTATATTGCTTGTAAATATGTACTTGAAGAATAGTCTAGCAGTACGCATACTGTTAGAAATGTATGCCTTTATTATGAACTTTTTGATATAGCTAACCTATTTAATTGCGATAGCAAGTGTATGGACACACTCGACTGCATTTTGCCGCGGGCGTCGGCGTAGACGTCGGAGTCGCCGTCATTCATCGAATATGTATACGTATCTATATATAAAAACGCAACAAAAATAATCCAGAAAAAGACTCCGGTGCGCGGAATCGAACGAAATTTCGTGTTAGATGTAACTTTGTTATAATGAAGTTTGAGTGCATACAAAGGCGGATCTGAACTTGCCTCCGCGCTTAGCACGTGGCTCCAGTCTGCGTAGGCAAAGGCCTGGAGTCCCCTTGCGGCTCCTTCCATGGACAGCGCCCTTAGCAGCAGCGCGACGGCGGTTGCAATGTGCAGGCCCAGCACCACGTAAAAGAACTGCGCGCAGTGCGGGAATAAGCATTAATCGGGCTTTTAAGATAAGGAGGCCTTGCAGCTGAGATCTGTTTGGTACAGAAGGTTTGCCCCGACGCCACTGCCACATCACAGTTGTGTCGCTTTCTGTCCTGCGGCAAACTTGCATTCCGCTAGTACGTGTGTTGTGCATCAGAGAGCGAAGAGTTTCAAAACAGCGATGCTATTACGATAGACACTGTAGTGGAGGCCATTGGAGACTTCGACCATCTGCGCTAATAATAGGAAAAATGCCACCCGCACCTTCCCATGGGGGGGGAGGACTCTCGTCACATAGGGGGGGGGGGTGTCACGGGAATGTTGCGTAAGTGGGTATGGTTTGGGAATGCTTGTTATTGCGTCTTTATTATTATTATTACAATTATTATTATTATTATTTATTGAATGATAAAGTGTTGCCTTTAACGAGTGGTGTGACGCGATGTGCAATCCAGTGCACATACATATTGCTACCTGGTGTTCTGTGCCGGTGAACGAGAAAGACGAAGACAAGCAACCCGTGCCAGCGGAGACGTCCTTCTTTGTCTCTGAGATTTTGGACAGTTGCGTCCCTTTGTACGTTCGTTCGAGCTCTTAGCGCGTGACAACTGGTGGAGGTGCTAGGTACCCTATGCACCGAACCCCTCCCAGTACAAGAAGCTCCAGCCCCATACCGGGGGTTACGCCTGTTCACTGTGCTAGCCGCAGGATCCGTGGACTGGACCCTGAGGTCGGACTTCTCTCAGAAGAGATGACGGCCCCAACTATTCCAGGGAGCGCCGTCCCAAGCGGCTGCAACACAGCCGGTATGGAAGGCGCAACGCCATTGCAAAATACGCTGTTCAAACCACGAACGCCGAATCCCTTTCATGGTGCTGTCCATGAGGATGTTGAAGATTGGCTAGTCCACTATGACTTCGTTGCCGCTCATAACATGTGGGATGACACAGACAAGCTCCGACATGTCTACTTCAGTTCGAATGACGGGGCACGTGTTTGGTACGAAAACCGGGCAGGTGTGTTCACGTCATGAGTGGACTTCAAACGCCGGCTTCTCGAAACGTATGCAAGTCCCGATCGCCGAGAGCGAGCTGAACGTGAACTCCAGTGCCGTATGCAAATGCCAAATGAAAGCGTAGCAATGTATGTTGAGGACATGACGCGTCTTTTTCGACGAGCCGACCCTCACATGCCGGAAGAGAAGAAGGTGTGATACCTGATGCGTGGAGTGAAGGAGCAGTTGTTCGGTGGTCTTGTACGCAGCCCCCCCCCCCCCCCCCCCCCCAAGACTACGTCAGAGTTTCTTGCTGAAGCCGTCCTGATTGAAAGCACACTTCGCCAACGAACCCAGACGTACGAGGGACAAGTGAACTTTGCTTCTGCTACGGACTACATCGGTGGTTTTGGGGCCCACGTCGACTTCTTCCGAGAGCTCATACGCTCTGTAATTCGCGAAGAACTGCAGAAGTTATCTGTACCCTCGGCGTCCACTGTCAGTTCTTTGTCCGGCATCGTTCGAGATGAAGTTCAGCAGGCACTACGAGAACCGTCCTGTCAGACAGAGCCGCGGCCCCTAAATGACTTCCCTCGCATGTCGTATGCGCAAACTCTGCTCCAGCCAGCACCACCTTTGCCTCCGCTTCCCACCGCGGCCCCTGCCATGCTTCCGGCAGATCAAACTCTGCGCCCACCTGCACCACATTTCACTCCGTTATACCACAGCCCCAGCCATGATTCAGGCAGTCCAAGCGGACTTCAGTGACCGCCGACCGATTCCGCGAAAATCAGACGTGTGGTGGGCCCCCGATCGAAGTCCCCGTTGCTATCACTGTGGAGAACCGGGGCACATCTACCGACAGTGCACCTATGGAGAGCTGGGACTTCGTGGTTTTGCGGCCAACTCCCCACCTCCTAGGTTCGGCCAGCGGCCTCCGGAAATCGCTGACTACGTTGCTCAGCAGGGCAGAACGACATCTCGGCCCCACTGACGCTCTCCATCACCGCGGTGGTTCCCTCCGACTCATCGCACCTATGCGGGCGTGGCGCAAGGCCGGTCACCTAGCCCGCGTCGGGAAAACTAGCCTCAGCGACCTTCAGGGGCAAGGCCACTCAGACTGGTCATGCTCAAGACCCCCTATCGACGCGGACTGAAGATACCGACGATACATCGACAACGACTCCACCGGCTGATTGCGGAAGAGTTTCCTTAGATATTCCTGTTCTGCTAGATGGTCGCGAAGTCAGCGCTTTAGTGGACACTGGTGCGGACTATTCCATAATCAGCGAAAAGCTGGTCGCCCTTCTCAAGAAAGTAACGACGCCTTGGAACCGAACGCCAACTCGTACAGCTGGTGGGCATATCATCACGCCACTCGGTATGTACACGGCAAGACTGCAAGTCCGCGGTTGTACATTTGTGGCCAGTTTGAGCGTTCTCCGGCAGTGTTCTTGAGACCTGATCATTGGCATAGATTTTCTCAGGGAGCATGGTGCTATAATTGACATTCGACGACGTCTAGTCACTTTCGCGACCACAAACGCCACAACAGTTTACGCCGACCCCAGCCACTCCCGAGTGTCTCTTCGCGTCGTCGACGACGCTGTCACGTTACCACCTCGTGCAACTGTTGTGGTTCAGGTGGTGTGGGACGGAGTGATGCGCGGGGAAGCAGTCGTAGAAAGCAATCACTCGCTTTTGCTGTCTCAGGGTGTCTGCGTAGCGAGAAGCCTTGTCGACCTTCGTGATGATCACTGCAACGTTTTTGTCACAAACTTCATCTACGAGCACCGGCACCTTTTTCCTGGAACTGTCATCGCCTACGCCGACCCAGTCGCCAATGTCACAGAGTGTTTTGCTTCCGAGGCCATCAGCACTGCTGAAGCACCTTTCCGCAGCGTCGACATCAATCCAACGCTTTCTGAAGCGAACAAGCAGCGTTTGAGCGAGCTGTTGCTGGAGTTCCACACATGCTTCAAAGATACGTCAAACACCGATAACGAAACACCGTATTATCACTTACGACGACGCGCATCCCATACGGCAGCAGCCTTACCGTGTTTCGCCAACCGAACGACACGTGATTCAAACGCAGGTTAAGGAAATGCTTCAGGATGGCGTGATACAGCCTTCAAGCAGCCCTTGGTCATCACCAGTCCTTCTTGTGAAAAAGAAAGATGGCACGCTTCGCTTTTGTGTCGACTTCAGAAAGTTGAACAATGTGACAAAGAAAGACGTGTACCCGTTGCGCAGAGTCGACGATTCTCTGGACAAGCTGCGACGCGCGAAGTATTTTTCGTCCGTCGACTTGAAGAGCGGTTATTGGCAAATAGAGGTCGATGAACGTGACCGGAAACAGACCGCTTTTGTAACGCCGGATGGCCTTTATGAATTCAAAGTGCTCCCTTTCGGCCTTTGTTCCGCTCCAGCCACATTCCAGCGAATGATGGACACCGTCCTGGCAGACCTCAAGTGGAAAAGCTGTCTCGTCTACCTCGATGATGTCGTTGTGTTTTCAGAAATGTTTGACGAGCATCTTCGTCGCCTTCGGAATGTGTTCGAAGCCATTAGATCGGCCGATCTCACACTCAAGCCTGAGAAATGTCATTTCGGCTACGAAGAATTAAAGTTTCTTGGTCACGTCGTGAGCGCCGTTGGTGTTCGGCCTCATCGTGACAAAACTGCTGCCGTCACCGCTTTTCCACCTCCAACTGACAAGAAAAGTCTTCGACTATTTCTGGGTTTGTGCGCTTATTATCGGCGCTTTATTGAAAATTTTTCTAACATTGCGCAGCCACTATTACACCTCACGCGTGATGATATACCATTTGTCTGGGCTGACGAACAGCAGACTGCCTTTGCGGAACTACAGCACCGGTTCTCTTTCCCTCCCGTGCTCGGCAACTTCGATGAAGATGCTGACACTGAAGTACGCACTGATGCCAGCAATATTGGTCTTGGAGCTATTTTGGTACAAAGACAAGATGGCATTGAACGGGGGATAGCCTACGCAAGTCGCACACTGTCTCGCGCAGAATCTAACTATTCCACACCAGAGAAAGAACGTCTCGCGGTCATTTCGGCAATTACAAAGTTTAGGCCATATCTCTATGGAAGACCATTTAAAGTGGTGACTGACCATCATGCTTTATGCTGGTTGACCAATCTACGAGAACCTTCAGGAAGATTAGCACGATGGAGTCTGCGCCTTCAGAAATTTGATGTCACCATCGTGTACAAGTCAGGCAAAAAGCACGAAGACGCGCTATCGCGAGCTTCTCTTCAATCCGCCAGTACTAGCGAAGAAGAGGACGGCGCCTTCGTGGCAACTGTCAGCGGACCGGATCTGATGTCGCATCAACGAATTGATGCCAATCTGAGAATGACTATAGATCATTTAGAACGTGGCACTTCGCCCATTCCTCGTCCGCTGTCGCGAACGTTGCCATCATTTTGCCTACGAAATGGCGTCTTATACAAAAGGAACGCCGGTGCTGGTGACAGATCTCATCTTCTCGTCGTGCCTGAAGCCCTCACGCGATGACGTCTTATTAACTTGCCACGACGAGCCCACATCTGGCCATCTAGGCTACACAAGAACTATGTATCGGGTGCGACAACTCTACTACTGGCCTAAAATGTCTGCCTGCGTCAAACGCTACGTGAAGGGATGCCGTGAATGCCAGCGTCGCAAAACACCACATTTGAAGCCTGCAGGCCATCTACAACCGATCGATCCACCACGTAAACCGTTCGAACAAGTGGGGATGGACCTCCTAGGCCCGTTTCCTTTGTCTTCTTCTGGCAACAAATGGATTATTGTCGCAACCGATTATTTGACGCGTTACGCTGAGACGAAGGCGTTGCCACGAGGGACCGCATCTGAAGTTGCCAGTTTTTTTATGCATCAAATTGTGCTACGGCATGGCGCCCCGTCACATGTCATCACTGATCGAGGGACATCATTCACAGCGAAACTCTTGGATGA